ACGACAAAGTATATACGACGCTTAAAAGAGAAGTGTGAAAGCGTGTTTGAAAAAACAGCAACGAACATCAGGAGAAAATGAAGGACACTAGAAAACAAAAGGACTCTAGTTTGTTGAAATATTTAAAAGAGGATAGGAAACTAAAGACAAAAAACTCGCAGAAATAATTTCGTCATGACCCCAAGAAGAAACCCAATCATCATAGTGTCGCTTTTGGCCTCAAAAAAAATCCCTCTAGCAGAAGAAGAAGTAGTGGAAGAAGAAGAAGATGATGATGAAAAAAAAATGCCAAGGTTTTTCACAAGTACATAATAGTATCGAGGCTTCCTGGAAGCATGACAATGGGGGTTTCTAATCCTCCTTGGATTAAGGGTCGACCAGCATCATCGTATGTTGGCGAAAGGAGAGTGTATAAGAGGAACGACCAGAGGGAGGGCTTCCAGTAATGGGATCGACGTTTCGTTATGTTACTTTTCCATTCTCATTCCCGAACCCTCCTTCCGTGTCTCGGTTCCTAGGATCTCATGCTTGTATGCCGTCATTTCTCCTTCCCTCTCTCTCTCTCTTTCTCTCTTCTTCTGTTACCTTTTCTCTGTCTCTCTTTCTGTCGCTTTTACCTTCTCTGTCACTCTCTCTCTCTTTTTGCGACTCTTTCTCTCTTTGCAAGAGGGAATGGGAGAGAGAGAGAGCAGCTCTCTCTCTCTCTTGTTCTCTTCTTTCACCTTCTTCTCCGCCTCCACTATCACCCCGGGGCTCCGTGTTTTTCTGCGTGTAGCCCCCCATTTTTCATGTTTCGCTGTGGCTTCGTATAGCACCTTGGAGTGTATAGCTGCCTCTCCCCCACCTCCTCTCCCTTCCCTCTCTCTCTCTCTCTTACTCACTCACTCACTCTCCTGGGGAGAGAAGAGTCACATCCACGTGGATACATCATTCACTGGGAGAAAATGATTCGTTCAGTGAAGATTTCTACTGGTTGTCTTGACAGTAGTCGAGTGTTACAAGTGGGGATAGACTTTAGGCAATTGGACAAGGCACAAGAAGGTGAATGCCGATTGGCTGAAGTGAGACAAGCCAGTCCACGTGGAGTAGTCGTTCAGTGGAGCAACGTCGTTTTCAAGCAGGCCAAAAGCGATAGCGGCAATCAAGTAGGAAACTGCTTGGGAGTGTGTATGGTATTCACATATACAGAGGGTGGAATGCTTACGTCTCACCCGCTCTGTTTCACATACACAATCGTAATACACGTGCAAACATTCTATCTGTGATTCTCGCTCTTTCTCGCGCTCCTTTCTTCATTCAATGAAGGCTTCTCGCTCTGGGCACAAGAGTAGAAAGGGGTTGGAAAACGGGTGTAGGCGCCATATTTGTGGTAGTGTGGGAAGTGAGGGAAATCACGAGTGGCGAGTGAGAGAGAGAGCTCTCGCGATAGAGAGAGAGAGAGTGCGAGAGAGAAACAGAGAGAGAGAGAGAGAGAGTGAGAGAGTATAAAAGGAGGGGTTGGATTGAGTGAGCGAGAACAGCCTAAGGGGTAGTAAGAGATGTCTAGAAACGAGAGAGGAAAAGAGAGAGAAAGAGAGAGAGAGAAGGGAAGTTTATGCGGACATCCGTGTCAGCCCTGTGTCGGCCATTTTGCGAAAAACTTTCGATTTGTTTGCACACCGACCAAACGGGGGCTAATACTCGCGCGTATGCCCGGCACGTCGTTACGCTTGCCTCGTTTAAACGACTACAAGACCATCCACTATCGCAACATTTTCAAAAAAACTCTCTGCCTCAAATACGAAACCCAAACAAGCACAACACTGTTTTGCATATTATGCATTTTGACATTTGCAAAACAAGTATGATTTCCACAATTTATAATGTACATATAACAAAAGGAAATATTATAGATTCTTCCATATTATCCTCCAAAACAAACAATTAATAAAACAAACTTTTTATTTGAATTTTCCCAGAATTTTTCACGAAACAAAAAAAAAATTATAAAAAACTTTTTACCATTTGAAGAAATAGTAAATATAAATTAAATTCTAGCGAGCTGTTTTCATATATAAAGATTATCAAATACTACTTCAATTTTTATTTAACTGCTCATCGAATCTACTACCTTGTACTAACTACTAGTAATTACTTTTAGTTACTATTAACAACTAGTAAGTACTATAAACTAATAGTAATGAATAGTAATTATTAGTAGTTAATAGTAACTAATAGTAATAAATAGTAATTATTAGTAGTTAATAGTAGCTAATAGTGACTAATAGTAATTACCAGTCTCTAATAGTAATTAATAGTCGCACTAATAGTTAATAATAATTTTAATAGTTGATAGTACATACTAATAGTTAATAGTAATTACTAGTTGCTAATAGTAATTAATAATAGTGACTAATAGTTAAGAGTAATTACTAATAGTAAGTGGCACTTACAAGTAATTGCTAATAGTTGATAGTATAGTTACTAATAGTTAATAGTAACTATTAGCAATTTTTAGTAGTTGAAAGTTTAATTGTTAGTAATTAATAGTTATTTACATTATTATTATTATTATTACATTATTATTTACTTGATAGTAATTAGTAATCAACTAATAATATGCGTAATAGCAATTAATAACAACTGCTAGTAATATAGTAACTATTTTTAATTAATAGTAAACAAAAGTAACTGCTATTAATTAATTATAATTAATAGTATCAAACTAATCGTAATTGACAAACATTATAATGATAACTGACTAACATTTATTAATAGTAGTTTATAGTAACTAATACTATTTAATATTAAGTAATTGTGTTATTAATAGTAATTGATAGTAACTATTAGTAATCAATTGTAACTATTAATATAACGAACAGTAATTAATAGAAGCTATTTGTAAATCATGAGCAAAAATAATATCCAATAGTAATTGATATTAATTATTAGTAACAAACTAATAATAATTGATATTAATTAATACAATAATTAAAATTAACTAATAGGAATTATTTGTAATTGATAGTATTTTATAGTAACTAATAATAGTTTCTTATCACATTTATTAGTAATTAATGTAGTAAAAATTATAATTAGATATTGTAATTCATAATAACTAACTAATTATAAAATAATTGTAATAAATAGTAATTAACTTTATCTACCAGGAATTATTAGTAATTGATAGTAATTAATAGTAAATAATTGATAGTAATTTATATTAAATAATTGATAGTAATTTATATTAATTAATAACAACTAACTAACAGTAAGTGATAGTCATTAATAATAACTAATAGTAATTAATAGTAACTAAGTTTATTACTATCAATAAATTATAATATCAACTGCAACTAATTAGAATTCGCTACTTTTAATTAATATTCATTACTAATACTTACAATTAATTTCTGTTTGTTTACATTAGTTAGTTACTACTAATTACTATTGATTAATAGTAATTGATGATAACTAATAGTAATTTGAAGTTACTATCTAATATTAGCTAACAGTAATTAATAATAATGAATAGTAACTATAATAGCAGTTGTTAGTAATTAACAGTAGTTGATAGTAACTATTAGTATATAGTAACTATAATAGCAGTTGTTAGTAATTAACAGTAGTTGATAGTAACTATTAGTAGTTGATAGTAACTATTAGTATATAGTAACTATTAGTAGGTGATAGTAACTATTAGTAGTTGATAGTAACTATTAGTAGTTGATAGTAACTATTAGTATATAGTAATTATTAGTAGGTGATAGTAGCTATTAGTAGTTGATAGTAACTATTAGTAGGTGATAGTAACTATTAGTAGTATTGATAGTAACTATTAGTATATAGTAACTATTAGTAGGTGATAGTAACTATTAGTAGGTAGTAGTAACTATTAGTAGTTGATAGTAACTATTAGTAGGTGATAGTAACTATTAGTATATAGTAATTATTAGTAGGTGATAGTAACTATTAGTATATTGTAATTATTAGTAGGTGATAGTAACTATTAGTATATAGTAACTATTAGTAGGTGATAGTAACTATTAGTAGTTGATAGTAACTATTAGAAGGTGATAGTAACTATTAGTAGTTGATAGTAACTATTAGAAGGTGATAGTAACTATTAGTAGTTGATAGTAACTATTAGTAGGTGATAGTAACTATTAGTAGTTGATAGTAACTATTAGTATATAGTAATTATTAGTAGGTGATAGTAACTATTAGTATATAGTAATTATTAGTAAGTGATAGTAACTATTAGTAGTTGATAGTAACTATTAGTATATAGTAACTATTAGTAGGTGATAGTAACTATTAGTAGGTAGTAGTAACTATTAGTAGTTGATAGTAACTATTAGTAGGTGATAGTAACTATTAGTAGGTGATAGTAATTAATAATAACTATTAGAAAGTAATAGTCATTAATATAAACAAATATTAACTACTACTAGTTGATAGTAATTAATAGTAACTAAGTAATAGTAATTAAAAGTAGTTAATAATAACTAATAGTAACTTTTAGTAAGAGACAGTAATTAATAGTAACTAATAGCGTTTAATAGTAATTGATAGTAACTAATAGTAAGTGACAGTAATTAAGCAGTTATGAATACCATTACCCAAAAATTTGAACACACTGAAGTAATGAAATAAATCGATAGAGAATAGTTTAGACATTGAGAATAAAGCAAACGTGGTAGTCAGTGACAAAGTTGGTTATTAACGAGGTCGTCGCGAAAGCTGTGATTTCGTGCCTTGCGATTTCGGTGCTTTTACATAACCGAGCGACTAATTGTAAAGGAGCTATCGCGCCGGTTAATGTTGGTGGGGTCGGACCTCTCTTGTTGTGTGTGGAGAGAGCGGAATGAGAGAGAGAGAGAGAGACAGACAAACACACAGTCATAGTGCGCTTGAGGGGGAGTGGGGTGGGGAGAGAACTGAAGGCGACGAGAGCTGTTTGCCCTGATGGTGGGGATATAATCCCCACCACGCTCCCTACGAGTTAGTCGTTTCGAGACTACGGAAGAGAGAGGATCGTTTCGTCTCATATTCCTGTTTATAAAATAAATTTTTAACAAATAAATTTTTATTCTCTAACATTTTTGTTTTTTTCTCCATTTTTTTAATACAAGAAAAAAAGAAGAAGAGAAAGATCATAAGATAGCAATGATCGTTAAATTGGATTATAAGTGACAACATTCTTCCCAAAGGATTAATCTTTTTTTTTTTATTCAAGTGTTTGTGAATTTGGAAAAATTAAATATCGCGCGTGACATAAATAATAAGTGTCTATAATAAAAGTGAGTGAATTTTCGAAAGAGAAAAATTTGCCGAATGATAAATTTGGCTGAGTTTGTGTTTTCCTCTTTTTAAGAGGAAAAATATATTTGATTTTTATTTCTTTTTTTTTTTTGGAATCATTGTTCGAGAAAAGAAGAGCGTCTCTCTTTCTCTCACTCGCACCTTGTGCTTCCACGCTCCGTCGGTCTTTTTCCCAGTTTGCCAAGTGTTAAGGTCTCTTTCTACCTTATCGACCGTCATCGTTCGTTGGCGTTGTTTCTCACTCTCAGCTTTTTTTTTCTGCTGTGGGGAAACAAAAATTCTTCTCCATGAGGTGCTAATTTTGGATTTAATGTGAATTTGGATGGAAAATTACGATACATATCTCACTTAGTGGTGTGTTTTATTCCATTTCTGGGGGTTGTATTTTCTATTTGTTTTTTTCAAAGGGGGGGTTTTGTAATTAGTGTTGTTGGTAATAAACGTGTGATTTTTTTTCTTTGATGGTGATTTAGTGAATCGCGATGAGGGTATTTTTTGAAAATCGCGTTGTGCACTGATGCAACTTTTGGATATAACGGTGTTGCAAGAAAGAATAAGACAAAGATAAAGGACCCGTAGTGTTTTCTGCGGATTTTTTTTGGAACACAGGAAAATGTATCCAAGCGCTGGTATTAATGCCGCCGCGGTGGCTGCTGCTGCAGCTGCTAGACATCCGGTAAGTTTTCTGTTTTTATTACTCTTAATAAGAAAAAAAATGTTTTTGATATTTTATTTAGGTAAAAATTTCTCTTGACTTGTTGATCTTTTAACTATATATAACCGACGGCGTACTTTCGGAGGGAATTTTACAGAGCTTCACCTCTCAGGTATAAGGGACCCAAAAATCTTCGAAACTGACTATTGTAGAACTGATCTTATTGTATTCGCTACAAAATTGTAATTTGTAAAAAAAATGTTGATAATAATTCTGTAAATTTTTGTTCAAATAAATCTGTAATTACAGTTGACGAAATAAATACGTTTTGAAATGTGTTTGCAATTTTGTAACACGAATAGAAAGCAGGATCGTAAATATTTTGAGAAAAGAAAAACGGAAGTAGCATCTGAGATGCTCTGGAAACAATCCCTTACAGCAACGAAAATTTTAGTCCTGTTGAACATCTTTGCTCCCAGGACTCTTGTCCTGGGACAACCACTCTCGGTTCTTACCAAACCGAAAGTTTCAGATCTTTTTCCTTAAAATTTCCGATTGCTGTTAAGGTAACAATTGCTGATACTACGTATCCTAATGTTTATCATTAATAATTTAGGATTCATCGGCAATTTTTCTAGAAGCATGATCCTAATTTCCATAAATCGTCAAATCCACCATGTGTACAAACAGTTTTCTAGCATTTGTCCAGAGAATTTTTGTAGCCTACAAATATTAACATCTGTAGAATTTAGAAACACTACATAATGCCAGCACTTTTCAAAAACAGGATACTAAATTTCTCTGTATTATTCTTTGGAGAAAAGAATAAGTGGCCCCCTCATTTGGGGAATGACTAAAGGAATATTGAAGAAAATTGAAGAAAAAAGTTTCGTATTCTAGGATTTGATTTTATAATGAGTCTGCTCAATTAGTGCGGTAAGCCCTTATAGTCTGTAGATCCAGTCCGCCCCATAAACCGCATTCCATTGTCAACTCCAAGTTGAGTAAGTCTTTTGCCCGCAAGTGGAACTGAAGATCTTTAGTTGCAGATAACGGTCAACTTATATACACACATTTAGACGAATGCTTACCTGAAAATTCCTTGTACAAAAACGTTTTAGGTAAATAAGATAATTATCTATAGGAAATTTTATTTCTAGAATAAAGAGCCCTTTTTTTTAAAACTTTTTTTAATTACAAATGTTTATAAAGTTGACCCCCAAAGGAAAGCTGTGTTAAGCTGTTATCAAATCGAACGTTATTTTGAGTTTTGTTTCTTATTAATTTGGAAAAGAAGCTCTTAATAGTAATCCTTACAGCTAATTATCTGATAATTAAAATGTTAATTTGGTTTCCTAGTAATCCTAAAACAAAATTTTAATTTCCGTTCGTAATAATCCTAAAACCAATTGTGGTGTAAATATTAACGTCCAACTGGGTTCAACTTTCAAAAAACCTTTATTAAGGGTCGAGAAATAACAATTTGTCGTAAGGTCCCTTTTGCCCCGGGCGGATAAGGAAAAATGAACCTAAAAACAAGAATGCATTCCTAGCCTCCTTTTGTTTTTAGGTTCATTTTCCCTTCACTCCTAGATAGTTGGGTTCATTTTAATGATTCCAAATTTACTAGTGGAAATAACATGTCTGTCAGGTGGTGTATAGTGGTTGTATTAACTATATGAAATATTTGATGCGCGTAACTCAATCTGGTTTTCGAAGTGGACGTGGCTAGGATTTGCGTCGAGAAACCCCAATAGAGTAGAGGTTGGAAATGTTGATCGTGGGGTTTGGTTCGTATACACTGGAGAACATCGGGACACGTGTCCACGCCTGCTAGCATATACACGCACGTGTCCCTTTCTCTCTCTCTCTCTTGATCCCCATGATAGGGTACCTCCATTTCACCCAATCGTCACGTATGACCACTGAAAACCCATTTCACTACACAATGTTGTCTGATATTTTGGACCTTTTCATCAAATCCTCTAATGGACACAAATCTCCACTGATTCCCCCCTCAGACACTCAAACGCCCTTCAAAAAAAGTTTATGATTCTTTTTACCTTCTTCCCTTTGGACACAAAAATTAAAAATTGATCTCTTGATCATTTGTGTATTTTGGACTTACTTTAGGACTCAAAAATACACAAATGATCAAGAGATCGACAGGTTAACGTTAGACTAACGTTAGACTAACTTTAGGCTAACGTTAGGCTAAGGTTAGACTAACGTTAGGCTAACTTTAGGCTAATCTAACGACATGTTTGGGTCACTAATATCAGGTTATAACCGTTAGTTATATTTTAAGTCTTTTTAAGTCCGCAAAGGTTTGTTAAAGAAATAAAAGAATTATTATTAATTTAATTATTATTTTAAAGAACCTAAATAATTAAAACATTTGAAAATTGGAATGATATTGAATGATTGGAATATATGGAAATAATTATGGTAATAATTGTGAGTGGTGGTAGGGGGGCTCATCAAAGACCCCTAAAACTCACGTCATACCGGATGTGGCAGGACGATTATGTAGCACGTGGTGTAATGAAAGGGGTTCCTCCTCGTATCGTATCAATATGAGAGGGGTTCGTGTTTCAGGGATTTGGTTTTTAGGGTGGAGGAGAGATACAAAAGGGGGAAGGACACACAAAGTATAAAGAGGGGTGTCAGCATAACGCCAAAAAGGGGTTGTAGGAGTTTATACATTTAAGTACGTATGCCTCCATTAGGTGCCTATTATCTTCAATGCACGTATTTCCCAACCCCTGATAAAAAAAAAAGAAAATAACCCCTCCCTTTATATAACAAATATTGATACTTTTAATCGGACTATTTAAACTATACACACATTGGATAAATACAAGAGAGTTATAGCACAAAGAGAGCAAATATTAGCTGAATTGTGACAAAACTGGTGATTTTTGATACTATTTGGGTAATGTTTGCTAATCAACATTTTTGGTATATACAATTTGGGTAATGTTACATGACAAAAAGCAAACATTGGCAAATATTAGCCAAAAACACTAAAAAAAATGATGTTTTTTGGTACAATTTGGTGCCCAATTTGGCTAATATTTGCTAATCATCATTTTTGGTATACAATTTGGCTAATGTTACATCACGAAAAGTAAATATTAGCCAAAAAAGAAGAAAAAGTCGTATTGTATTGTATTTTTGGTACAATTTGGTTAATATTTGCTAATATGGAAGAAAAATGACAATTTTTGGTACACAATTTGACTTGAGGAAGTTATAAAAAATGTCTCCATCCAAATCGAAAGGGTCGTTAACTGACAAGCTGTAAAAAAAAAGAAAGTATTTACCCGACGACGTCTTGATGTTTATCGTCGTCTCTCCAAATACATATATATATTTTCTAGAAAAAAAAAAGTTTCTGTATATCATTGATGAGGGACTGGTGCTTTGATCGGTAAAACGGATCTACCAGAGGGATTGGTATAAAAGCATAAAACCCAATTGAGGGGAGAAACGAACGATGAAGAAGAAGAAGAAGAAGAGGCAAAAGTTTTGCTCAACGACAGCAGGTGCTCTCAGCCAATAAGCCTTAGAGGGAAGAACCAAAAACGAAACCCAATGGAGATGGAGAAAACGCGAGGGATGAGCTGCTTTTGAAATCCCTTTTTCCGCCAAAATAATCCATACAGTCGGGGATACAACAACAACAATAGTCATGGACGTCGTCTCGACCCCTCTGGTATATTACTCGAGCCTCAGGGAGTCGTAAATTGGTCCTTCAGGACCGGAGTAACGAGAATATTGGGTACATTTCGTATTTTAGTGGTTTAGTTAGGTGTCTATGCTAGTTTTCTTTCTCTTTTTAGTTTGTACACTTTTTTTTTCTATAGTCAAGAGGTCGTATGTCATCAAGGGTTTAAGATGCTAATATTGAGAGTATTCTTAATCCATTGTTGTGCAGGCGAATTGTATTTTTATTGGGAGAAATAAATATTTGTTTGTATATTAGGTCTAGGTGACGTCAGAGGTAAAAAAAAAAGATGGTGACAGGGGAAAAAAGGCTCGCGCAGCCACTAAGCGCCTGCGCATTCCTTTTTTTCCCTGTCACCAACTTTTTTAACCTCTGACGTCGTGGAGAATAAAATATTCATAAAATATAGTTAACTAATCTTTTAAAATTTAATTATTTCTGAAAAAAATCATACTATAACGTTTTTAATATTTAAATTATAAGCTAAAATTTCAACTGAAATTCGATTTTAAATCATAATTTTTATTAGAATAAGTTCAAGTGAAATTCAACTATTAACATACAAGAATAAAAATATATTTAATACGCAATTGAATGTTTCTTAAAATTTAATTCTTATGAAGAACTAATTATTTATTTCTTATCAATTTTTTTAAAAAATAATTGAATTTCTGAAAAGAATTTTTATTATATATATGAAAATAATTGAATTTTTGCGAAGATTTTAATTCAATTTTTTTTTTAAATAATTGAATTCTAGTGAAAAATTTTCATATTTGGAAAGATAATTGAATAATTGTGAAGAATTAAAGAATTTATTAATTTTTTGAAAAATAATAGAATTTCTGAGAAGAATTCTATTATTTCTTGAAATAATTGAATTTCTAAGAAGAATTTTGTTATTTATAGAAAAAATACAATTCTTTTAAAAAAAATTATTGAAATTCTATATTTAAAATAATTGAATATTTGAGAAGAATTTTAAGACTTATGTAAATAATTGAATTTCTGAGAAAAATTTTATTATTTCTATTATTTCTTTAAGAATTATTATTTCTTTAAATAATTGAATTTCTGCTAGGAACTTGATTGAATCTTTTGAGAATAATTGAATTTCCTGAGAAGAATTTTTTTATTTCTTGAAAAAATTGAATTTTTGCTGGGAATTTGATTGAAATTTTTAAAAAATAATTGAATTTCTAAGAAGAATTTCGTTATTTATAGAAAAAAAAAAATTCTTTTGAAAAAATTTATTGAAATTCTATATTTAAAATAATTGAATATTTGCGAA